ATATAAATTTTTCGTTCGTACAAGAGAAGAGAAAAAAATATATATATATTTGCGTACACTCGCGTACGCGGTGTCGATGCGACGAGAGCCAAAGTAAACATTAAGCTCGGAGAGCAGCAGCAGCAGTAGCAGCTTCGATAAGCCAAAAATGATCGTCGAGCTATTCCATATACCATTGCCGCTACTTGGATTTTCTGAACTTCTATATCTACGTATGCGTGTGTGTGTGTGTGGAAAAGGGGGTAATACGTGCCGAAGCTGTAGCCTAGCGAGATTATAATAACCGATGAGAAGCTCCGTTTCTACGTGTGTGTTTGTGTGTATTATACACACAAACGATCATCGTCTGCACACGTGTGTGAGTGTATATATACGCGAATAATACGTAATCTATATACGACAAGAGTATTGCATTTGCAGCGTATATAGCTGAATCTCGCGCCTCGAGTGTCTTTATAAACGTGAACTCGGGCTACTCTCGATGGTATGTGTGAACCGCTTGTGCACATATATACATTATTTATACGTACTGTGTATACTGTATATTAAACAACTTAAAAAATTAAAACGGCAGTCTCAGCAGCTTTAGGGACATATAATTACCGATCCTCATTTATCCTTATGCAGGTTTCTAGAGGACAAGGATATAGCCATCTAGCGTTGAATCATTGAAGGTGAAGCGAATTCTCTGAGGCGTAAAAAAAAATAAATAAAGACGCGAGCGATTTTTCAACTTCCATCATTTGCAGAAACACTCGAATTTACACATGTTTAAATTGTGTATTTATTCTAAATATATGTATGAGTTTTGTTTATTTAAATTTTACTCAAGTCCACTTTGGCCAACAGTAAAATGCTTTTTAAAATAAACTTTATGTATAAATCTACTATTAATGAATCATTGAAACCACGATATATGTAATAGTTTTTACTAATTGTTCAATCCAAGACCATTAAGAATACTCTTAGAAAATTTCGAGAGCACGAGATTCGCATCGTGACGAAGGGCGTACAAGTAATGGGATCGAAATTGATCCTTTGACGCGTCTATATATACACACGAGGTAAACGAGGAGAACTTCATCTCCTGTCGGGCACATTATCAGTGTTATATACAATCGAGGGGCCGAACGGAGAAAGGCCAAACTTCCACATTACACGCAGACCGACACCGTCGTAGTATATATAATAGCACGTATACTGGACCATGCGGCTACCCGAGCGGGGTCAAGCCTGCACACGGGGTGTAATAGCCGGCAAAGTTTTCGTTTGAATATGCGATGAGCTGACGATAACAAAAGCGACTCCATCGGCCGGAAAATTATTACATTGGGATGCGTGCGCGTCGATTTTAATGCACGTCAGCTTCGTCGGCGAGCGAAAAATTAAAATCTTCGGCTCGATCGAAATTTCAATGTAAATAATGATTTTCGACGTGTTCCTTTCTTTTTTTTTTTTTTTTTTTTTTTAATATTTTCTCTCGTCGAAAATCAATTTTGCGCGAATAAAGCGCTTAATACGTACAATATCCCATCGGCGCGAATGCGAAACATTTTTCAACGCCGAGAGAGAGAGAGAGAGGGAGAGAAAAAAAGGGGCGTAGAATAAAGGTCGCTATATTAATGTAGATCGAGGATAAAAAAAGAGAAGGAATTCAAAGTTAAAATTGAAACAACGGGCGCGAGCTACTGCTGTTGCTGTGTGCTTGTGTGCGCGTGTTTTCACAGCTTGAAATTTTCAAGACGCGAAAATTCACATTTTCATTCGCGCGCAAATAATACGATTATGTATCCGGTGAAATAAGCCGTTGTTCGCTGTCGGGGATCGATTTATTGGATTTTATTTCATCGAAATTCTTTTGTACGCAATTGCGCGATTATTTTTCTTTTTTTGTTGTACATTTTTCAAGCGACCAGTTGTGTAATGCTGTATATACTCTTAATTGTTAAGTCGAGCTTAATTGTTCAGTACATCAGACATGGGACTAGACATGAAAATTTCGTCAAACTGTGCTTTAAATTATACAATAATTTTTGCTTTATCACTTGCAGATTTATAGATAAATAGTACTCGCCATCTAGCGGTGAGAGCTCGAAGTGGTATTATCGTATTCGAAGTGTTTGAAAACTGGTCTCAATTTTTACAAACAGTTTAATTGTCACTTAAAGTGCGCTCGATGTGAACGTACGTAACAGAAATATCGCCCGAAACGAGCCAATAAATGGTTATTGATTTTAAAACATATATACTCAAGTGGTCATTTTTTTGTTATTATTAAAGTTGAGCATTTCTATCGGGACTATCGTACGATACATCGTAACAATAAACTCATTACGCTATATTCAACTACGTTGACTGTAGTGAAATTTATTCAATAGCTTTTAATTGAATTTCAATTGAATAATTCCTTCAATTTCATCGGCATCTTCGTCAGAAATCTCTGATACATCGACACTGACTATGTTGTCCTTCATTCGTAAGCTTCGTCCGTCCTCTTAAAATTCATCGTCAAAAGTAACCACTGAAGTATAGCCCTCGTTGGCCGAGCGAGCAAAGGCGTCTGATTTCTCGCCTGATTTGAACTCGGGCCCGAAGTAGTCAGCCCTCGAAGTAGGATGGTGGATATGCGCTGGATGGGTGACGTTGGGTACTGCTCTACTCAGGGTCCTGACCGTTGATCCTAGTGAGATCCCAAAAGTAGAAGAAATCGAAGTCAATCCATAAGCAACGAGATGACGTATTGACGTATTGACTTGTACAAATATTTTGACTTTGCTACTTGCAGATTTGCTAACAAAGCTACTCTCCATCTAACGGTGGATGCTCAAAGTGGTATTCCAAATAATTAAATTCTTTGAAACCGTTGAATCGTCATTTTCAGGTCATTTCAAATGCGCTCAATAATTGTAACGAAAAAAATCCCCCAAAAACCAGCAATTAAACGGTGGTCGCTTTTTGGTCATTATTTCAGTGCCGCTGCACCATATATCGTAACGATAAACTCATTGCCGCGTATAAAGTTGATCACATTTCGAGGGGACAACATCGTATTATTCGCGAAGGCATTATTATTATTGGCCTCGTCGCTGGAAAATTCTCACTCTTCGCCGCCCGATACGAGCTGCGCGTACGTTATATCACGCACACACACACACACACACATGCTCGTATCCTCGGAGAGAGAATTTTGGGAGTTAATCGCGCTGAGGCATCTCCATTAAATTCTCTGCGTTGGCGTTGGCGGCGGCGAACAATTACTGCGGCACACAGCTATATCCTCCCCCCGCCTCCTCTTTTCTCCCTCATTAAAAGCTCGGCTCGTATTTTCGCATACACGCGCGGAATATGCACGTGCATGTGCGACAGTGCACTGTGCAGCGCAGCTCGAGGAAGGAGGATGAGGAGGAGGAGGAGGGAAAGATTGAGCTAGTTCGACGATGCGAACAGATTGTCCTATGAATTCGAATGACTTGATTCAGTCGCGTGCGCGCGACAATCCCGAATCCTTTATCCCGATTACCAAGTTAAGCACTCGTGTGTCTACGGGCTTTTACGCGTCACGCGCGCCACGAGCAAATTATTCAGCGGTGATTCGAAAGCTTTCTTAATAGTTTTGAGCATTAGTGATAACAATTTACGATTGGCGCGTCGAATTGTGACGCGAGGTAGCTGTGAATAATTTAGCATGTGTCGTTTGAGAATAATGGAAGATTTTACGCCATAACTACATATGGCAAGGAATGGCAAAATTATATCCTTTAAATTAATGTAAAAGTGAAAAGAGTTTTTTTCCTACACGAAGAAAAATTCATGTAAAAGCATTACAATCAACGTGATTTGATTTAAAGTGTTTTTAATAGTATTAAAATAAATTTCATGAAAATTTTTCAAATTAATTCAAGTTAAATCAATTTTTATATGTAATTATTAACTTTCTACCATTGAAAATAAATTATCGATCAAATTTAAATTTATAAATTTGAATCTTAAAACTTAAAAGTATTAGAATCATAGTTCAATAATAGTAGATTTTCTTACAAGGGGGAGAAATGAAACTTCCGCATGCACGTGATATGAGGGTGTTTCATTTTTCGCCCGTGTGAGAAATAATATTTTTTTCCATCCCCGAGCAAAAGTTTTCATGAAATTATCCAAATAAATTAAAAATAAAAAAATAAATCCAAGATTTCAATGCACATAAGGACTTGCATTTGTTTTTTCTTTCGCATCGAGGTCCTGACTTGTCGTTAGATTGTGCAGAAAACAAAGCGGTTTTGGTTATTACTGACTTTTATACAATCAGTAACATGTGCATAATTTTTATCGCGTAATTATTATAACGTCTCTACGTATTGATGTGTCTTCGACAAATTGTTGGCCAAGTAATATGAACAATAAAATTATAAATATTACGTTGCTAGGCTGAACTGGCCATAGCAACCGCTGCATCTGCCGGGCGCGCAGAAGTGGGCAAAAGTCCTTCTTTTTCTAGGCTACGCGTACGGCGGATGGTAAAAGAAATTGATAAATTTGCCTGAAAACTGTAACTTGATTTATACAATTATTTTGACTTTGTCACTTGCAGATTTAAAGAAATAGAGGTACTCGCCATCTCGTGGCAGAGACTGGTACTAATTATGCTTGAATTTTCATACATGTTTGGAGCCACCAATACGAAAAATACATCAGTATTAAAATATTAATTTTCAATCAAAATGTTTAAATTTGAGTATAGAATTAAAATCTTTTTTTTCAATTTTTATTTGTATTAAAATTAATGTTTTTCAATACATGTGGGTAATAAATACGTACACGTAAATTTTAAGAAAGATTTCATGTAAAACTATTCTCGATAAACTTGCTTGATTTTTAATGCCTCATGATTTTACGTGCATTAATTTTAAATCGTTTTTTAACCTTATAACTTAAAGACAACAATTAAAAAAAAAAAAAAAACGTTCAGCAGTGATCTTATGCAATCGTGTCGTTTGTTTCAGCAGTCGAGGAGATGAAGCTGGGACCGACGCTACCGATGACCCCCATACCGCTGGACAGTTTCTTGACGATCTGTGATATTCGAAGAAAGTTTCCCGTACTTTACAGAGTCGAATATCAGGTTAGTCGCTTGAGAAAGGTAAGTCATCGCAAGCTCCTTTCATTTCTCATTCAGTACATCCTCGGTTTTATATATTATTTTTGTTAATAATAATAATAATAATAATTATGTGTACACCCTGAAGGGTGTATACATTATAGAGAGTCCTCGAGAAATCTTCAAAGATACACGTAAATATATTAATAATCATCGTCGTAAACGTTTGATCGTTTCAATCTCAAATTTTCATTAATAATCATGCGCAAAACGAGGAAGCACATTAAAATCGCTACATTAAACATTTCTTTCTGTAACGAGCCCTCGAAGCGCACCCCGATTCCCTTTATATATCCACGATATTACGGCATCATAATTTTCCGCGCATTGAATATTTCGCACGGCGCAACTCGTAGTTAACGTATATACACATCAAGAGACCCTCTGTTGCGCTGCTGCTGCTGCATTATATAGTCTGAAATTTTCACGAGTTCGGAGCCGCTGCTGCTGCAACGTCGTCGTCTTTATCTATCGTTTTTTTTCTCTCTTTTTTTTCCAATTCGACACACGTGTACCTATGCGCTCTCACGAAAAGTTCGGGGGTTGAAAAACAGAATGAAATATTTATCCGTTCGTTAGCTTTGAGTGCAGCGGCAGCAGCAGCAGCAGCAGCAGCGTACACGGGGCTCGCAACTATTATATTTGCTCCGGCTTCAAAGTTCGAGATTAGGAAAGTTCTCGTATATGGCTGAAATGATATATACATTGCGTTATATATATAGGAGAGAGCGTGTTAATCATACACGAGAGCTTTCTCTCTCTCTCTCTCTCTCTCTCTCTATCTCTCTTGCGCGCACTGCACTAGCGAGTTTAAAGGATAATATTCATGCGGCGCAGGCAATTAATATAACGCGCGGCAGAAGGGGGGTGGATGATATACAAAACTTTTCCTGCGCATGGGACTGTGCCCGTTTGATCAAGAACGCATCTGTGTGTGTGTATGTGTGTGTGTGTAATGAGATGCTTGCGGATTATAATCGTATAAGACGCTCGCTCTGCGTTCGATGGGGGGAATTAATTGGATTTATGTAGGACAAATTATCGGTTACATTCAACTATGTAAAGAGCCAATTACTTCGGGGAGGGGTGGGGCTGCTGATGCTGCTGCGCATGATCTCGAGTCTAATCCCCGTAGCTCTGCATATAGTGTGTGTGTATGTGTGTGTATAGTACGATTTTCGCAGTTCGAGAGATAGAAAAGCGTACGGCTAATGTTTCTTGTTTTTTTACACATTGATTAAGCTCAAAGGTTAAGGGTTTGAGAATTAGTCCCGAAAAGCTCCGTGTTTGGTATTATTTAATTGCATAAATTTAGGGGGGTACAGTAATTGACGCTTTGAGAAAAAGATCGAAAAAATTTTCGTATAGGAGAAGGTGCGAATCGTCAAGGACTCGGATCACTTCGGAATATTTTTTTTGAACATTTGGACGATTTTTTGTTCAATTGTCACTCTATACTGAGCGAAGCATTTTTTCAATATATTCGTACTGAGTAAAAAGACAGTCCCCGAAATTCTACCATAATTCTGGAACAGTTTTTGTGGAGTACAGAGTTCGAAAAGGCGCAGAAAAATATTCACAATGGCCAAAAATCAGGTGGAAAGTTTACAAGCAATGTTGAGGCGCGTCGACTGGAACAGCGAGGAAAGCCGACACAAATTTCTCTGCGAATTCGACTCTTCGATCGATTCTTTCAACGAAATTGACTGTTATAAAACAATTTTTTGACGCGGACAGATCGATCGTCTTCTCATCGATTGCATATATTGCACCGGGGGATGAGCCCGACCGGCTCCACACGGCCAGCACGGCTTAATCGACGGATTAGTTGACGTCGGGGAGAAATTTTTTTATTCCTCGCTCTTCGCCACGAAGTAAATTGTGTTTGGGGGAAAACGGACAGTACACCGTTCCACTCGGACTTATACTTTTAATGTTCGGATGTAAATAAACTGTGTAAATTTTTCGTATCGTTTGTATATGAATAAATCAGAAAAAATTAATTCATTAATTTGCTTGACCTTTGATTCTTTGATTTCAATTTTATTTCAGTTACGTTCACAAAAATCATGAAGAAGTTTTATAATTTGAAGCTATTCTTCCACGGCTGCTAACTGATTGGAAAAGTCTTGATTATTTTTTCTAAATGAAAGTTTTTTAACGCGGAAATGTCATTCTCAAAATTGTCCAACCAACTGAAATCACATTGCACGTTCTATACTTGATAAACGAGATGGTCACTCGAACTTTGATGGTTCAAATTTTCGTTTATCGACTAATTTTTTATATTTTATCTCATCTTTTTTCTAATTGTGTCTTTTTCTTTCTCTTTCTTTCTCAAAAACGATCAGTTACCATGAAGGTGCAAAGAAGATTGTTAACCATGTCTCTTTCTCTCTCTTTCTCTCTCTCACTTTCTTAAAAACGAGTATGAAGCATGAAGTTGTAAAGAGGGTAAAAAATTACTTTTGTGCTCAAGAGTGTGAACCAGAAAAATTTTTGAACGAATTTATAAGTTTACGCTACACTCGAAGAATACAAAATTCTTTAATTACGGGCAGTATCCCCGATACCTCAGAATTTATAATATGTCTGAGTACTCGTTCTGCCTAACTCGAGCAGTTAAAACGTAAACAAAAACTCATAGCTCGCTCGCACGTTCAACGTCGTAGTTTTATTGTTCAGTCAGTCAGTACGTATACGTTACGTAAACCCGCGTGCGAGTGATTTTCGCGACAGACGGTACACAGAAAAATATCCACGATGAACGGCCAAGATCAAGCAGAAAATGTAATGGAAATTCCGAGACGCATCGACGGGCTCAGCAAAGGAATTCGACACAGTTTTCTCCGTGAATTTGACTTTTCGATTCAACGATTCGACGGCTCGTCCGACGAAATTCACGGCCACGGATTAATTTTTCGTCACGAGGAGATCGATCGTCTTCTTATCGATTCCATACACTGCAACTACGGCGACGACGACCCTCACCACGATCACAAGGCAAGAAAACGATTGATCCGATTTTTTATCAGAGCCGGCTACAGAGACGAGGTCGTGGATCCAGAAAATATCGCAAATCCAGACGTGGTCGAACCTCGAATCTTGCGTCGCACCACGGCGATCCATCACGCGGCCAAACTCGGCTTCTACGACCTCGTCGAGGACCTCTTCAAGATCTACACGCAGTTCGGGGTGAACTGCTGCGACGCCAGCGGCCTGACCCATCTGCACGCGGCCACCATGGCCGGCTGTTTCGGCGCCGTGGCGCGATTTCTCGAGCTCGGTCACGACGTGAATTGTCGCTGGCCACAGACCAAGGACACGCCGCTGCACATGGCGCTGCTCAGAAATCGGGACCTGATCGTGCAGCTGCTGCTGGATTACGACGCCGACCCGTTCAGGCTCAACGAGCAGCGAGTCGCTCCCATGCGACTCATCGGCCGAAGATCCTACTTGCCGGAGAACGACCCGCTGATGTGGTATCTGACCAACAGCATGAAAACCTTCGTGGAGTATTGGACGATGGAGTTGTATATGAGGAAGTCGGGACCGACGGAGGACACGGTGATCACCTGCACCATGATCGTGGAGCAATCGGACCTCGAAACATTGTGGACGGATATCGTGATGCCGTTGTCGCAAGACGAGGATGTTTATTACGACTCGCCGAACGAGGATGAGAGCGACTCGCAAGAAGAGTTTGGATATTACACGCAAGACGAGGATGAAAGCGACTAGCATGTATATCTTTTAATATCTGATTTGTATACATTTTCGTACATTTAAAAAAAATGTAAACTCTGTAAATTTTTCGTATCGTTCGTATACGAATATTTTATAAAGAAAAATGGACTTATTCAAAAACAAAAAAAAAGGTTGTTATCGCTAATCTTAACATTCATTCATGGTAAATGATAAAAATAAGTTCAATTCATAATATTACACACACCGACTTCGAGACTCTCGAATTGCTATATATACGTACAACGCAGCGAAAACCAGTGATTCAGCTCGACGTGCGGTCGGACGTGTATATTATAAAGCTGCACTTTTGTCGCTGCAGCAGCGCGTGAATGACCCCACTTCTCTCTCGCGCGCGACGTTTCATCATATCGGAAAAGAAAAAAAAGGGCGATCGATTTTCTCGTTAAAGGAAGTGGTATATAGCGGGTATTATTGCTCGAGTTGGGCATTCTTGGCACGAATCGCGTCGTTATATACATTTTTATACCGCTATACCGAGCTGTCTCTCCGGTTTTTGGTCAAGGCTCGTATGTTACGCATTATTATACACTTAGACTCGTAATGAGAAATTGACGAGCCTATTAGGAGAGGAGGAGAAAAAGAAAGGAGGGTCAAAATTAGTCACCGGCGATGAAAATTTAACGAGGCTCCAATGATTCAGCAGGATATAAAGAGCAAATTACATCGGATTCGAGTGGAGGGTCGCAATAGCTGTTACGTCTTCCACGCTGTGAAAAAGAGAGAAAACAAGGAAGAGAAAGAAGATCGAGTAGGAAAAAGAAAAAAATATATGTGCCATTCGTTGCACGATTCATCCGAGCTGCTGTGCGCCGCGCAACGGGGCTTAGAGCAGGTCCAGCCCTTTTTAAGGCTTCTTTCAGCGCGCGGGCGTTTTAGCAAGAGAGTCTCTTCTTTCTTTGGTCGCATATACGTGTGTATGCACAGTAGAGTAGCTCCGCTCCACGTACGAGAGGGGCTAAGGTTTTGTGCCATTTAAGCGAGCTTGGTTTCTAGCTGGTGTGTGTACAAAAAGCGTGGTGAACTCTCGTCGTAGAGAAGCAGCAACCTAGTGCAAATTGAATGAGATTCTTCGCTCACTCGAGGGCTTTTTAGTGTGTAGAGAAAGAGAGAGAGAGAGAGAACATCGCTTATTCATCGCGACACTCATTATTTATATGGTATGACTTTTTACCGCTTAACTCTTCTCTCTCTTCCTTTCGACTTCTATAAATGCACAAGCGAGACTCTCTTCGTCTGCCGCTGAATGGATGGCTTTTAATTATTTGGCAGCTGTACAAATGATCATTGTAATGAATTCGCATCAGCGACGTCGGCGGCGGGTGGTAGTCTCTCTCTCTCTCTCTGTGAAAGGAGAACCGAGAATGAATATTATTATACGCGTCTCATCCTGGTTTGCTATATATACAATAATAATAACACATCGAAGCCCTATATATTTCTCATTCAATTGTGATTCGTACGTACGCGCATACTCGATGCGGAATGCAAAAGGACAATGAAAAATGAGAGGGTATAATACGAATTCTATTCTTCGAGCAAACAGATGTGCGCGCGCGGTTCTCTTTTGCAGTGCGACGATATAGAGTTCATTCGTTCGATCGAAAATATATGCAAAAGGGTTTTCTTTTTTTCTTTTTTAACGTAAAAGACAAAAATTCAATCTCTCTCCGGCAAAATAAATCATCTCGAACACACACTTTTACACATCCGTGCGCAGAGCTTGTATCACCCAGCGCGCGCCGAGTTATACACACGTTAGTCGCGTTGAATACATTTACATGCGCTTGGAGAGAGAGAGAGAGAGCTGCGTAATGCAAAGCAGCGGAGTCATGCACACAGACACAGAGTCACACAGATGCATCCGACAAGTTTATACAGGGTAGGCGGGTTGTGTGTTGGTTGAGTTGGTTGGTTGGTTGGGCGCCCCCCCCCCCCGCATGTAAGACGGTAAAGTTTCTTACGCAGCCCAAGTCTCGTCGCGCGGAAGCAGTTTGCAGTGTACTACACGTCTGCGTATGCGTAATAAGTGCGCACACAGGTATGTGTAGGTGTGTGGGTGAGATGAAGTGTCTGCTGCTGGTGCAAGTTAAAAAAAAAAAGGAGAAATACGTTTTCAAGAGACTCTCGCGAACTTTTCTTCTTCGCGTCTTGTACTTCTAGAAATGGAGAGTAAACGAGCTGTGATAGTCGTACGGTATAATAAGTAGGGAAACTCGGCGACGAGATTGCGTATTTTATAATAATAATAATAATGATATATATTTGAAACGCTGATTTGGAAATTCATGGGATGTGGCGCGCGAGGAAGCAAAAAAACATGCTGTTTGCCCGTTAGCCGCGGGAATTTAATCACCGCAAAAAGATTTCTGCTACAACGCACAGAGGCGAGATGGAACTCGGTGCGAAAGCTCGACTGCGAAGACGACGACGCTACACCACTGTATACATACGAACGTGAACTTTCGTCTTAACTTTTGTTTGTATACATTCTTTGAAGGATAAGAGAGTAAGAAGAAGGAAAAAGAAACTAACGAAAACAGCGAAACTATTTCGCAAGACGATAATAGAATAAGTATTTACTAGCTTTTAAAAATAAAAACTACAGCTATATACGAGGGCTATACTATATAGCTACTGCGCAGCGTGAGAGAGAGAGAGAGAGAGTAAATAAATTCACCGATACATACCTTCGTTGTAGTAGTAGTAGTGAGAGTAGTAGTACACACTTATACACGTGTGAGGGCAGCAATAGCTCAGCTGTGCGTGTGGTCGGGGGAAAAGTTTTGCTGCAGAAAGGCAGCAGCAGCAGCAGCAAACTGCGATGTCAGGGCGTAGGACGCGGGAGGAGGAGGAGGAGAAAGAGTCGGATCCAAAGAGAAAGTTAATAAAGTACCGCGGGAGTTGCAGCAGCAGCGGCACTAGCAACGCATTCGTCTAATGTCGAGATTCGAGATTGTACAAAAATAGAGAGAGAGAGAGAGAAATCTTTCTGCGTTACTGCACTACTCTTCTTTATATACGAATCGGTTACGGACCAAAAAAAAAAAAAAATAAAAATGAGAGAAAGCTCATAAATGTTGATTTTTTTTTCTTCCCCCCGATATGTCAAGATTGAAAAGTGTACGGCTTCGGAGGTTTTTTTCGAAGGCAATATAAGCGTGTAAGTAAACTATCTCTCTGCTGCCGCGCGCTTGTGTACTCGGAAATTTTTCGGTTACACGAAAAGGGGAATTTAATTAAATCGCAAAATATATAAAGGAGAGAGAGAGAGAGAATTCCAGTTCTGCGGAGATCTCTCCGGTAAATATACCAATTAGAAGGTCGAAAATCGCACGCGCCTGCAAAAAGCTGACGTATTTTATACAGATATATATAAATATGAGAGAGAGAGAGGCAGAGCTTTCCTGGGGCACGCGCGTGTAATAAGCTCTCCGGGGCGAAATTCAAAATATTGTATATATAAATTACTTACAGTTGGGATGCCTTTACAGCCGAGGCGAAATTTTGAAATTAAACATTTTTTTTTTCGTTGCTCCTTCTTTATTGTAAATTTGGAGTCGAGGTATATTATTATGCTCTATGAAAGAGCCCTATAGCCCAGCGCGAGATTGGAGTTTTCCGTTTTTTGGATATTTATTTTCGAGTAGGGTACCCCCTATATAGCTAAGTCGCATGTAATTTACTACTTTTTAAAATTAAACATTTTTTCCATGAGAATGCGTACGCTTACATAATAATTCTCATTCGGCGGGCATTCATTTACAGATGCAACGTATAATATATCACGTTTTCGCTATATACATGTCGCATTCAGCTTTGTGGCAAACAAAAAAACCACGTTTATTATTTTACCTCAAGTTTTTTCCTCTCTCATAAAAGAAATGAGCAATACATTCATGCGATGGCGTTATTATCTTGTAAAAAATAAAATAAAATAGAAAAAAAAATATAGAGCGAAAAAAAAATCATCCCCGCGTCACGTTCAGAACTTTCCACTTGAACTTCATGGCTGGCGACACTGCGGCGGCAACGGGCGGCGGGCAGCGGCGTCGCGCATACGTATACACGTCAAAATATTTCTTGCAAAGGACGTGTAGCGAATGCAAACGACAGGTTTTTTTTTTAACGTATATATCAAGCGTATCATCGGCGTGTCATTTTTGTAACTTTGAGTTAAAAAAAAAAAGGGAAGAAAATAATAATAATAATGATGAAAAATATAAGCGTAGAGAGAAAACGAAAGAAACGCATGGGCGACATGTGCGTGAAAGAGCCGCCGCCACCGTCGTCGTCGTCGCCGCCTCTGCATCGCCGAGATGAATAAAAGAAAAGTGGGATAGAACGTGTCACGCGCGCGTGGCTTTTTTTCGCGCTCTGGCGCGCGCAAATTTGTTTTATTCTCACTAAATCATTCGTTTTCTTCATTTTTTTTTTTTTCGTCGGTATTTATCTGTTGCAGGAGGGAACGAGGGCCAAGCCTCACACGAGCAAGGCCGCCAACAAGGAGATAAACAAGCACAAGAATACGAATTCAAAATGTATTCCATGTAAGTTTTCTGAAGAATTTATCACCGTTTGAACAAAAAAATTAAAATTTCTATCGCCCCGTCAATCTTCGTCGTCGATGAACTTCTCTCTATTACAAAAAAAAAGTATATATCCTCGCGCTTACTTTAATTAACCGCTCGGTCGGTTTATTTTCTCATCGCGCCGCGTCGCGCAGACGTCCGCGCGACTAGGACGACGTAGCGTAACAGCAGCTCTTGACTGAATCTTTGCGCAAAACAATTTTATTACTCGCCCCCGTTTCTACTCTCGGGGCCAATGAGTTTCGCGCGGCGCGCAGCGTCTCGCAATCGAGCGCAATATATATATATGTATAGAGTAAAAAAAGGGACGAGAGAAATGCTATATCGGTCGATACAAAAATAAAATAAAATAAGGGAAGCTAATAGCGAAGCTGCTCTCAATTTCTTCTTCTTCTTCTTCTTCCTACGCAGACGACTACAACCGAGTGGTGCTGAAGCCGATCGAAGGTGTACCAGGCTCGGATTACATAAATGCCTCGCACGTCAGTGTAAGTGCTCCTCTCAACTCTACATATACGTATCTCGTATAATGATATCTCTTTATTATGAACGAAAGGAAAATTAATCTTTTGTTGGCCCTCTTCGCAGAGTATACTGAAACCGAATGCCTACATCGTAACCCAGGGACCCAACGACTATACGGTCTGCGATTTTTGGCGGCTCGTCTGGGAGCAGAACGCCAGCTGCATCGTCATGCTCACCAAAACGTTCGATTTCATCAAGGTACGTATAGCACAGTGCAGTACAAATAAGTTTCCTCGGATCACTCGTTCACGCACTATTTTCCGTTTTTTTTATCACGAATCCACTCGCGGATTTCCGAACGTTGCGACGAATCAATCTACCCTTTGCCGAATGAAAAGCCGGCTGCTTCGGAAAGTAGAAAAAAAAATTTATCGAAATGTTTTATATACGTCGCGAGCGAGAGGCGAAAAGAAAAATAGTTCTTCGTTTCGATAATGATTCTAATCGTTCGTACATAATGAACACTATTATTTAAAATCAGATGTTAAAAATTGCAATAAACGATACCGAACTTTAATCAAATCTTTGTTAAAATTTAATGTAAAAGTACCGGTATTATATGTCAGTCTTCGCCGCTGGATGGCGAATACATAATCACCTACAAACCCGCGAGTCGAACAGTAGAAGTCATTGTATAAGTACGGTTTTAGTAATGGTTAACGTTACATACTGATGCAGTGTAAAATTCGCTCATAATTAAGCTGGTCTCTGCCACTAGATGGCGAGTACTTTTATCCGTTAAAATCTGCAATTGACGAAGTAAACATACTTGCATAAGTAAAGCCACGGTTTCGAAATTGTCAAAGTATTCTTTAACTCTACTATCCATCACTTTTTTCGTAAGAGAGGTATACATTCGATGTAAATATATTTCACAACAAATATATTTAAAAATACACAGTCCTAACGCGAGACTCGAAACGATCGATCAATCGCCGTTATTGTTATTTTTTTTTCCTCTACTTTCGTTATACTTTACTCTCTCGACGTATATCGTTGTAAAAGCATGGTATATAAACTACAACGCGCGCGAACACACCCACGCACGTATATATAGCTGTACGCGAGAGAAGAGACGCACAACGTAAAATTGCATTTTGCGAGCTTGCGCGCGGAAAGAGCATCTTTTTCTCCGTCGAAAATTAATGACCTCTCTTATACTCTCGTAGCTCGTCCCAGCGAGCGCATTATATACGCATTGTCGAATCGTGCGCAAGGAATTTCAATTTACTAGCCCGAGAGAGAGAGAGACAGTCCAGAGAGCTCGGAGTAATTCATTTACCATGTACAATAAAAGCGGAGAGAGAAAGAGAGAGAAGAGAAGCTACGACGAAAATGTCGCGCAAATGTTACAATGGCTAAGTATTAGGTCAAGCAGCAGCAGTGCAGCAGGCGCGATTAACGGTGCGGCTGAAGGCATTAATGAGAAAGAGAGACAGAGAGAGAGAGAGAGACTTTGACATTTTTCAAGCCTCTTATCCGACCCCGCAAGCTCGCTCGTCGTAAACTATCTTTTTCCACGACTCGTCCGTGAGAGAGAGAGAGAGAGAGAGAGATGGAGAGAGAGAGAGAGAAAAAAAAGAGACTAGATCGGTTCGAGCTGACCTACATATTAAAAAGTCTCTCTCTCTCTCTCATCCAGTATACGCGCGGCTTTTTTGTCAAAACATTTCCTTCGGATCGTAAGAGCTGTTTTTCTTGTCTCAAAAATCTCGGACTTCGATACAATGGATAACGGGAAATGTTTTGCAGTGGATATATAGTTTTACATACATCTGCATATCGCGCGCGCGCATATCCTTTTATAGCCTCCGTAGCGGGGGCGAAACTTGGAACGCGCGAAATTACCGCTACACCAGCTCTTGATGTTACACGAGGGGTCGTAACGTATTATGCATATATGCGTATACGTATATGTATCTCCGCGCAGTCTGACCCAGCAGTATATAAGGTACGTTACGTAACGAGTTTAATATCTCTCGGGCGCAGACACTCGTCCTCTCTCTGGACGCGCTTATATATTATTACAACGGCCAACTATATATAATAATAATAATAATATAAATAAAAGCGAGAGGTCAGACGTATACAGTAAAGCTTCCGTAGCGGCTTTTAGTACTGTCTATTTACTTTTGCCGACGTTGGGGCCGTCGCAGCTTCTGTTATTTCAACGCTGTATGACAAATCGAAGGGAATCAAACGTTCCGCGAGGCGAGGCGAGGCGCCGACGACGGGTGGTAATATTTCAACGTCTCTCTCTCTCTCGTCGATACACGCGTAAACGCTTTTCGCGAAGTTGACTAATGAATTTTCGCGCGCCAAAAGAAAAAAAAGAAATATTTTTCACGCGCTGATAAGTAATAAACACGTATAGTGTATAGCAGCGATGCGCACAGTTGGTGCCGGACATTTTTCATCGTCATCGTTTTTTTTTCTTTTTCTCAAAAATGAACGAGTCGACGTGTCATCTCTACACGATAATTAATCGATTTTGTACGTCACGCAGGTGATGTGCACGCAGTATTGGCCGGTGGACCGCGACAAGGAGGAGACCTACGGCGAGATCACGGTGCGCGTCCTGGACGAGGAGGAGCTGGCCAACTTTCGCATCAGGACGCTGAGGATGTACAAAATGGACCCGACGAGGACCGTAAGTGCTTAATACACGTAAATTACACCCGATGCATTATGCGACATGTTTTACGACGCGAAACTTTTCAATTTATCGTTTTTCAATGCGAGTAAATGCCACTCTCCGATAGCGACTTGGCGCGCGCACGAGAGAGAAAATATTTAAAGTATCCAAATGAACTTTTTCAGACGATCACGGAGGAGCGCAAGATTTTTCAGTTCCACTACACCGAGTGGCACTGCCACACGAATCCCTTCAGCAACGCCGTGCTGGAGTTTCGCCGGCGCGTCCGATCGATGCTCAACTCGATGCCCACCAACGATGGACCTATGGTCGTTCATTGCAAGTGAGTGTTTCGCGCGGGGGCGCAAGAAATCGAGTGAACGATCGTTATGATAAATTATTTTTTTTTTTCCAATATTTGCAGCGACGGAGGTGGCAGGACGGGAGTGTTCCTGATGATCGACGCGAACCTCGAGCTCGGCGAGGAGCAGGACGCCTTCGACATATTCGGCTACTTCAACAAACTGAGAGACGCCAGGCGGGGTCTCATTGAAAATATGGTAAGCAGCGTGAAAAACTAAATCAAACGAAAGAAAAGTCTACGCATACACGTGTATCTATATGTGTGTGCGCCCGAAAACAGGACCAGTACAGATTCGTCTACGACACCCTCGAGGAGTTCATCAGCTGCGGCATCACCTGGTTCCCGGTGGGCGAGCTCTCGGAACGCCTCAAGAGCAAGAGCATCAAGGATCCGCGCACGCGCAACAACGAGTACGTGCGCGAGTACAACAAGGTCTGCAAGCAGACGCCGCGCTTCACCATCGGCGACTGCGCCGGCGGCCACAGGGCCGACAATCGCGAGAAGAATCGCGACGTCCTCGTCGTGCCGCGTGAGTGACATATTCCAATACCTTCTATGTTGATTTTTATGTTGGTTTTGTTACACTTACGTGACTCTTGGATTGAAAATGTTGACTTTTCTGTAAGTACTGTGAATACGTGAACACCAGTTTGAGTCTCCACCGCTAGAGGGCGAGTGTACCATTATTTATAAATCTGCAAGTGGCAAAGTCAACATATCTGTATAAGTACACCCAAGGTTTCTCAAAAGAGAATCTCCATCTTACTCACTTGGAATTTCGTTAGCGACTATCTGATAATATTGCACATTGAATTAACTAACTTGAATTTGATAATATTTACGAATCTTGAGGTGAAAGTTTAAACCTAAGTAAATGCAGCAACATTAACCCATTACTTTTCAGAATGACGAAATTTCCCTTGTAAATGCAACTTTTTCTATGTTTTAGACATTGAAAATGCTTCGCACATATATAATTTGACGTAAAATTTAATGCCCTTTCGGAATCCGGGATTAAGATTTCTAACAAAATCTAGATGGCAGGTACCTCTTGCAGATGAAATCTGCAAGTGACAGGGCGAAAATCAATTTATAAGTTCAAGCAAGTAATATCAAATATTCAGTAAAAAATTTTATTGTAGCGTTTTAAGAAATATGTTTGAAGTATAAGTTGTGTACATATGTCGCAAAAAACTTTTTCTTCAAACTGTGCTTCAAGCAAGTTGGAAGTAACTAAGTACGAAGTTCAAGCAAGTAATATCAAATATTCAGTAAAAAATACTAAATAGATATCGCGTTTTGGAGCTCGCACAGGTGGACTTGGTCGGTTTGGCATTCTGCTGTACCAAGCTGTAGATCAAATTTTCGGACTTTCTGGCATTTGCACATCAAAGTTTACACTAAACATAGTTTTTTTATGTCATAAACGCGATTTCGAAATAAATGGAGTTGGTCGGTTCTCCCTTTCAACCATAGATATTATTGTAATAGAAAAGTCCTTATAAAAGACCTAATCAATCGTGATGTATTTCAAAAAACTTTGAATGGCAATTTTTTAATCGTCATCCTATAAAAACAACAACAACGTGAATGTCTGAAATCCAACGAAATAATTCACGCAGTTTTTTCTGAAAATGTATAAATCTCATTAAATATCATATTTATCTCACCGACATTTTTTTCTGTCCAGCGGACAACTTCCGACCTTACCTGACGAGCTTCCAGGGCAACACCTTCACGGACTACATCAACGCCGTCTTCGTTGACGTAATTATACCACGAACCCGATTTAATTCAGGTTAAATTTTGTCCATCTCTCTCCGTAAACCAAAGCTCTTTCCAATGTCCTCAGGGCTACACGAAACCCCGGGAGTACATCGTGACCGAGTGGCCGATGTCGCGCTGCCTCGGCGAGTTCTGGTCCCTCGTCTACGACTACGAGTGCTCGGCGGTCGTCGTGCTCTGCGTGCCGCCCGCCGACTCCACCAGCTATCCGTCCTTCTGGCCCGACGGCCGCCACTGCAAGACCAAGAAGTACGGGCCCGTATTCACCATCGAGCACATCAGCCACAATCATTACTCCAACATCAAAACTTGGGTAGTTAACATACACAAACAATTCCTTGACGGCGAAGTAAGTATCGAATTCGTGAACAAAAAAAAAACTCTCTTGGGTTTTTTTCTCTTCTGTTTTTTGGGATTTGCGCGCCTTCTTCCGCCTCCTCTGTCTTCTTCTCTACGCTCTACGCTCTTCTCCGCTCTACGCTAACCAAAACAAACCAAAACCAACCAAAAAAAAAATACTACCACCACTTGGCGCTGGCGTGTGTTTGGTGGTGGGCGGCGGTGTCGACAACCCTTATACATGGCTGCCCGGCGCTGCTGCCTCGCTTCAATAAAAACTTCTTCCAACTTTCGACTGGATAACAACTACTGCGCTGCAACAACCAACCAATCAACCAACCAACCAAACCGAATCAAAAGGTCTTTCGGATAAACAAGAAAATCGTTTCTCTTACCGAGTTAATGGCAGGCATAAAGGCGCCCCCGAAGACGGTCCAGCTGTTCCAGCTGATCTGCTGGCCGATGGGCCAGATGGTGCCCACGTCGACCAACAGCCTCGTCGAGATGATGAACATGGTGGAGCGCTGGCGACAGCACACCTCGTACGGGCCCGTCGCGGTGGTGTCGCCCGACGGCCGGAGTCGCTGCGGCGTCTACTGCGCCGCCAACGCCTGCATCGAGCAGGTCATACAGCACGGCGAGGTGGACGTGTTCCAGGCCGTCAAGACGGTGCGCAGGCATCGGCCCCAGCTCATACAGAGTCCGGTAAGATAAGCGTCGACCGATACACTAGCATATATATATAATGTAAAATTGCACGGCGCGATCGATGGCTGATTAATGGCACGCTTGCGCAATTATCGCAAGAGAGGATAACGCAATTTTTTTCAGCATGTTTATCGTAATCATTATATTCATTTGCATGTCGTCGCCGTTGTCGTCGTTGTTCTTTTTTTTTCGTAGCTGGAGTACACGTACACTTATCACGTCTTAGCGCATTACCTGGCGGCCTACCCCATCGACGGTTCAAATCACAAAGTGCCGAAACCCGACGTGAGTTACACTAGTCCGCCGATGAGCGCGTGGCCCGTCATGGAAAGCAGGAATAGCTCCCAAAGAACTACGAATAGCTCCCAAACAGCTACGAATAGCTCAAAAAAAGCTTCGAAATGGAAAAAGTAATGAGAGCCGATGGGATATTATACGGCAACGTTTCAGTAATTTTTGGAGAAAACGAGTATTTTTGCGGCGAAACAGTAATCGGCCTGTTTTTGTTTTTTTTTTTTTGAAAATTAGAGATTACGTTTCATACGTAGAGCTCGATTACTGTCTCGCTTGTACTCGTATTTTGTTTTTATTTTTACTTTTTTTGTATTTCTATATCTTATTACGTTTGATCGAGAGAGGACTTCGCCGATGGTAGAATTCGAGGATAAAATTTTATTTTGGCCCGATCGAATTTGGAACGGTGTATTGATTTTTTTTTTAAATACTAACCTTTTATCTAGTTGAAATTAACAGATTTTAAAACTCACTCGTTCGATAGAAAAATTGATGACAATTCTTCCAATGATTTCTATTTGTATTAAAAAAAATAAAGAAACGGAGCAATAGTAGAATAATTTCAATTGAGTGCATAAATATAAATACTTTTTCATGAATCATAAAATTCATTGAGTTCAATGTAAAATTCTTTAAACTTGATTCAGATCACATCGATTTCAATTCTTTCGCATGTTAGGTTCATGCGGGTTAAGGAAAAAACACGCCATCCTTACATAAAGATTCCATATTGTTTTTGTTTATACGCTTTGATTTATACGCTTATTTATACTTTGACACTTGCAGATTCACCGATAAAGGCGCCACGCCACGTAGCGGCGGAGGCTGGCACTAATTTTTGTTAGAATTGTCATGCATGTATTGTACATATTTAACGCTACAAATAAATCGCTTTGTTCTTGTGTGCAGTCATTTAATAATTAATTTTCATCGAAAATGTCATTTCATTCAAACATCGAATCTTCTGCATCGCATCTAATCTCTTCCTCTTTCTTCGTTTTCTCTCCCTCTCTCATGCACAGACGGAGTACAAGTATTGCTACGATCTGGTCCTACATTACGTGCTGCACTACCTCAGCAAGGACATGTCGGAGAAGAAGTGAGAACACGAGTTGCGGGACGAGCTGTGGTTCATCGAGTTCGGCCGGGGCGCGGCGCTGCCGCTGACCCCGGAGGAGGCGCCCAGCAACGGCGGCGAGCCCGCCGTGCCCTGCGCCCAGGGCCGCGTCGTCTCCGAGACCTGCAGGCCCGCGCCCCAGCCGGCCTTCGCCACCTGCTCGACTTATCATCCTCGTGGCGAGGCCTCGACTCCCCAGCAGGAGCAGCAGCAGCAGCAGCAGCAGTTCAGCGAGTTGGAGGCGGCCTTGCTCGTGGGTCTACAGAAGCATCAGCAGCAGCAGCAGCACAACAGTACGACGACGTCTTCCGCAGCAGCAGCAGCAACAACAATGACAACGAGTATCAGTAGTCCCAAGTCCAGCGCGTTGATGCGCAGCCAGACGGTGATCGGCTCGCAGTCGTTGCCCTCGCGCCCGGAGGATCTGCGCGTGCGTGCCTGGTACGAGGAGCCCTCCCAGGACAGTCCCGTGTCGACGATCGAGCCGCTGGGCACAGACCCACTGAACCAGGACGGCAGCAACACCAGCAGCGGCACCAACAACAACAATCATCACAATCTCGATCATCGAGGAGGAGGAGGTAACAACAACGACGCCGCCAGCTCGACCCGTACCAGCAGCATGGAGAGCGAGCATCATCCTCATTCCCAGCAGCAACAGCACCAACACCATCAGTACGTGTACCAGAGGCCGCCCTCGGTGCCGCGCAAGGCCTGCATGGATCTCCAGGACGCCATAGCCCTGCTCGACGAGACCTGTCCCAATCCCGACGTCAGTCCGGTCATGACGCCTCGCACCCCCCGCACACCCCTGACGCCGCACTCGAGAAACAAGAGGGCCCGATCCAAGAGCAGCGACAACTCGTCCAACTACAGCAGCGAGAGGCTGAACGACAAGTCGGCCGGCCAAGCCGAGACGCCGAGGGAGCGCATCCGTCCCTTCCTCAAGAAGATCGGTATATCGATGACGGAGGACAGGCCGCTGCTGGCCAAGATAGCGCCGCGAATTTTAGGGGGTGGCGGTAAGCCCTACCTGGAGAAGATCGGCCACAGTCGGGCGGTGGACAAGTCCTTCATCGAGGAGACCAATACGGGCTCGTCCGGGACTCTGGACAAGTTCACCTTCGACGCCGCTACGCCGAGTAGTAGATCCAAAAGCAGCAAAGCAGCAGCAGCAGCAGCCAAGGAGGAGCTGGAGAGGAAGATGGCTAGGGAGAGGCGCGACGAGATTCGCGGATTCAGCACGGGCGAGCGTCGCAAGTCCGGCAAGAACTTCCTGCTGAAGATGTACTCGTTCGAGACGGAGGATCTAGTGGAGGGCGATAACAGGGCACCGGCACCGCGTCGGGATCCTCTGCGTGGCGCCTCGCTAGACGACGTCCTCGAGTCCGGCTGCGAATCGACGAGTCCTGTCACGAGTCGCGACGCTGCCGCTGCCCCCGAGCTGGTGCGCTGCAAAGTCACCACCAGCGAGGAGATCATCCTGCAGCTGTCCTCGTCGAGTCGCGCGAGTCTCAACTCGCCCATGGAGATCGCCAGCTGGGGCGCGTCGCCCAAACGACGCGCCGGCGCCAATACCCCGTGCTCGCCGTCGAAGCGCGCGGCGCCCGAGCGCGTCGTCGCCGTCTACAAGGATCTGGACGAGCCGAAGCAGACGACCAAGACGACGGCGACTACGTCGTCGGCCGAGGGCACCCTGGAGAGGCGCAAGAGTCGCATGGATCGTTGGGGTGGTGCCTCTTCGTCTTTCGATAACTGGAGCGGAAGGAGCAGCAGCTGCGCCAGGGAGCGCGTGGCCACACCCGTGTTCGCCGAGATCGGCGTCAGGAGCACCAGCAACGAGGCCAACAACAACAGCAAGGGCAGCTGCAGCTCGGTCTTCTCGAGCTCGAGCATCACCAGGCAGGATCAGTTCACGGAGAGCTACGCGGATTACAAGCTGAGGACGCAGCAGGGCCAGCACGCCCTGAGGAGACTGATGATGAGCCACCAGGCCAGGCAGAGCAACATGCCGCCCTCGTTCGACATGGGCTTCTCGTCGAAGGAGGCCGCGCTGGAGAAGCGGACGTCCGAGGACTCGCCCAAGATCAGATCCAAGTCGGTGGAGACGGACAGGCTCAAGGACGATCGCAAAAAGCAGCAGCAGCCCGTGGATAATGGCGTTGGTAGCAGTAGCAGTAGTAGCAAGCAACAGACGAGAACCAAGTCCGTGCTGAGGAAGCAGAAGCGCGTGGAGAAGGCCAACTACGAGCCGGATAACGGTAAAAAATTGGAGGACGACGACGACAACCCGGAGCAGACCGGTAAGAGAAAATTGGTGCACGAGCCGTCGCAGGAGACCCTGAACCTTCTGCAGGAGCTGCAGAAGGTCAAGAGCTCGCTGAAGAGCCCCGGCTCGTTGGACGAGAAGTCGATCGAGGACGGCAGCGGCGCCAACGACCCGACGACGACGGAGCCGCCGCTCAAGGCCTTTCCCAAGCGCGTCCTGCTCACCGATCAGGAATTCTGCCTGTCGATCGAGCGCGAGAACAGCGTGAGAAGACCGGCACCGAAGAAAGAAGAGGTTGTCGATGCGTCGTCGTCGACGTCGTTTTTCGAGAAACGATGCCTGTCGCTGGACTACGCGGACGACGACAAATCCTCGACGGCCAACGAGCGGAGAGCGAAAAAGTCCGAGGAACCGCTGCTGCTGCTGGAAGAGACGTCGCCGTCGAACGTGTTTGAGACACCGACGACGGAGAAGACGACTGTGGTACCCGCCAAAGCCAAGCACAAGAAGGATCGCGCCCCGGATCCGCCCAAGGATCAGCTGCTGCTACCGAAGCCGCCTAGTAACAATAGTAATAGTAATAGTAATAGTAATAATCGTCGTCAGCAGCGTCATTCCGATAGCGACGCGACCAACAACAACGGAAACGGCAACAATCAATTGAGCCCGAAGCGTCGCAACCAGAGCGAGTCCACCTCGCCCAAGGCCACCGCCTTCCGGGTGAAGAAGCGGCTGGGCCGCGTCTCGGTCGAGGACAAGGACAAGACCCTCAAGCAGGAGCAGAGCTTCGCAGCCGACGTTAACGCCGATAAGGAACAGCAGCAGCAGCAGCAGCAGCAGCAGCAAACGACGACCACGACTACCATGACCATGACCACGACCACGACCACGACCACGAGTACCAACGTCGCCGCCGCCGCCGCCGCCGTCGCTGCCAACGTCGTCGTCGTCGGGGGACAGAAGAGGGCCAAGTGTCTGCCGTTATAACAGACGAGAAACAAGTCGAGCAGTGGCGCTGCATCTGCTGCTGCTGCTGCTGCTGCGGCTGATGGTGGTAGCAAGAAATGACGAGCGAATATTATTATTATTATTATTATTAGGATGGTAGATATGTATTGTATATTGAAAGTCCCACGCACACACACGTACATAAGTTATACACTCTATTACTACTAGTGTACTACTACTATAATACTATTAATAACATAAAATGAAAAATGAAAGCATAAGCTTGCGGACCAGTTTTTTATATTTTACCATAATAACTCGTTAATCTATATAATAATATATTATATAATATATAAAATATAAAGGTGAAGAAAATTAAAACAACAAAAAAAAGTAAAAATATTATCATTATTATTGTTATACATGATGTAATTGTCGATTTCATGGTGGCGCTGTACTCTCAATTTCAATTAATTGATTAATTATTATTATTATTATATACAAAACAACAACTACGTAGGATATAACGAGCGCGTTGATTCTAATACTGACAAAAAAAAATAAAATTTGATAATGTTTCCAAAGTTTTCCAAAACAGGATATTACATAACTGTACGATGTAACGTGAGAATAGTTTTTTTTTAGTCAAATATTTGTAAAAAAAGGGTGAAAAGAAAAAAAATCAAATTTATAAGAGACGATGTAGAAAATAAAATATTTCCATTCGTTATGTGTGCGTGTGTGTGTTGTACGTGTGTGCGATATGCAACGACGATGACGGCGACGACGACGACGACGATGCGTTTACTAAATGCCGTTTGAGTTTATAACAAAATATATTATATTATATATACGTATGTGGTTTCGGCGACTATAACTACATTTTCTTGCGCAGTGCCTTTGAATGTATTTGAGTATACGGCGACAAAAGAAAGAGAGAGGAAAAAAGAAAGATCGGCAAAAACACGTGTGTATCGCGAGTCGACGCGTCAACGTTAATTAGAGAAAGAATTAAACGGTTGTATACTGTAAAAAAAAAATAGATGAATAAAAACAATTCCATGTCATGCGTAGGGTATAATACATCGTCATGTAGAGATTAGCCGTTTACAATTGTAATGTGTGTCGATCGTCTCAACAAAGTCGATGTGTGATTTTCTCCGATCGACGCTCTTTTTTTGTTGTACGAAAAAAGAAAAGAGAGTCACGAATGAACAAAACTGTAACTCGAATGTTACTGATACTACAGTTACTACATTATATACATTAAAAATATACATTCTACATAGTCACTTATATTCTATACGATATAGTTACGTAATTGAAAAGGTTTGACGAGACGCGTGTGCGTGTGTCACATCGTTTGATATTTTACTCTTTTTCTTCTTTTATTGTTTGTCAATCTCTGAGAGCCTAAAAAGCATATTTCTGAATGTGTTAAAAAAATAATGGTATACGCGTATAAAGAATATACGAAAATAATATATTAAAATGAAGCAGCGAATACAGGACTATAAAAAAAAAAGTAAATAGGGCGATACACGTTATAATAATATATACATAGAGTGAGGATTTTTATTTCCAACGTATTTTCATTATTTAGGACGAGATGTGCCAAAGTGTGAGACAAAAAAAACTCCGTACTTAGCGTGTAAGGTCTGCTCTGCTCTGTGTTAAAGTAAAATTAAAATAAAAAAATACCACGTTAACTCTGAGAGTATAATGAATACAAAAATATTATATTATTATTATTATTATTATATATTGTGCGTTACGTTTGTATGAATGATATATACATTATTGCGATATCTATGTACACAAATATATTATATCGGAGATACGTAGAACGTGTCGTTTTTCCCGTATCGTAATTTTCGTGCAACTTATTATAAGTGCAGATTATATTCGGGCCGCGCTCGACTCTAATTTAATTGTAAAAAAAACAAAAAAAAAAAAAAACTGGAAACGAAAGTTCAAAAATCGAAAGGGTGGAATCTGTATGTTACGCGACAGCTATCCGTCCATCGCTCAAATCTTCGGGCTGTCCCGTATACACACGCACACAGGCGCGAGTTTCTTTTTTGCGTCCATTATAGAGAAAATTTCAGAGTGGTATTATATATAGGTGGATGGCACTTTTATTTTACTCGCTGGCGAGATATCGTATATATGGTTCTGTGGAGTCAATTTTGCTCGTTGTCGAATTTCCTTGTTTTCTTTCGTTTGTTTGTTTGTAATAAATATGCGTATCAAGTGCAGTTGTTTTTTGTTTTTATTACTTATTTTCCCTTCGAGAAGACATTGACGTACAACAAACGGCGACTATAGTATTATAACACAATACGATGTTTCTCTCCGATCCCTTACCTTCCTGAATAAAACGTGATATCTGTAAATTTGTTGTTTTCCAAGCCCACGTTTACGCACGAAAGATAATAAAAAAAAAGCAGAATCATAAAAAATACCTTAAGGTGGATTAAAAAATATACATAATAAATATATAATTAATAGATTAAACCCACGAAAAAAAACTAGAGTAAAGTTTACGTGTGACGTTGTTCGTGGGAATTCCGAAGAGAGGCTCTGTGCGCGCACGTTGATCGTGATAATATGTATAAAAAGTACGATAACTATGATAAAAAAAAAATATATTTGAAGTTTGACCTAAATAAACAATTACCATTATTATATTATTTATCAGATTATTCTATGAACGTGAATCTATGAAATGTTATTTGAAAAAGGTAAAAAAATCTATTTATTATGCGCAATGATGGTTTGCGGATTACGTATTTATGTGGGTGCATGTGTGTGTGCGTTGAAAAAAATTAAAGTTGGCCGCGTTGATTTTTATTATAGTTTTGTTGTTTTTTTTTCATTGTTCAATCATTGTGTTGAGTTATCATTTCCTCGAATACAGTGTCTATTGCGTTCGGAGGAAGCTTATTGATTTTTCGATTGGATTGCCGATGCGTGCCGATTTATTATTATAATATGCTTTGAAGAAAAGATATTGAATTTTTAAAATTTAAATGTACATAACCCACTATGCGTCAATCTCCGGGCGTGATTTAATCTCTCGACGTGTAGTGCAAAACGTGCAGCACATCTGGTACTGATTTGTAAATCAAATTGATAAAAAAAAAATCAATAAATCATTTTCAGTATATTTGGTACCTATAAATTTTAAAAGTGAATTTTTATAAACATTGCAAATTTAATAAGAACGTTATGATAAATCAAATTGGTATATATTGTAAATAAAATAAAAATATGCATAGATTGCCAAAGTGTCGTCTTTTTTAACTTTTACTATTCACATCCTTGTGTAAAAAAATATTTTATTATTTTTTTTTTTGTATAAAATTTTCATCATTGTACAAGCGTATCATGTTATCACAACCAGTTTTTATATTTAGTTCTATACATATACTTGAGTAAAAAGCGTCTACGTGAAAAATATATTTCTAAAATCAGAAATTTTATTTGACACTTTCTATTTACAAACTTATCTATAACAACTGGAACAAGGGAATGAATCAATTGACTTGAGCTGTCTTAGTCTTATCGACTATTACAGAGTTACTCAAGTTTAGTACTCCACAAATTATTACACTTATATCATCTATATAGGGCACTATTTCAGATGGTATTTCATTTTGAAAGATTTTAAACTGCCTAAACTTTTTAATAACTACATCGAGTGGCTTTTCTACTTTTTTTGATGTTTTTTTGCCTTTGCTACTAATGTCATTTTCAGAAGGAAATTTTATATCTTTTGAAGATGTGAGGAATTCAAGAAAATTATTGGTGCTGTTTTTAATGCTCAATATGCCATTCTGCATTATTGCATTTTTTTGAACTGTTAGTAATTTGGAAATTTGATTCTGATCAGTTACAACAATTCCTGCAGCTTTACCAGTAAATACTCTACCAACATAACGAATAAGGCCACTTGTGGAGAAACCAAGCAATATTTTCATTTTTTTCAGACTCCCATATGCTTGCGAATAGCCAACAAGAGAATTACCTTTTTTAATGGAACTGCCTGATACTAATCTTTCACAATTTAGACACACTGGTTTAACTTGTACCAATAGTTCTACATTATCCACAACACTAGTAGGTTTATAAATATCATTCAAATTGTCCTCAAGTGACTCTGAAACATTGTTTATCGTTGGCCAAAATATAGCAGCTTTAAGAACATTTTTCAAAGCAGTCACGGATGAAAAAAACGCAGTTTTACATTCTTGCTCAGTTATATAAAATAAATATGAAAGCGTCTTGAAAGACAAATTTAATTTCATCTTAATCAAACATAAAACAATTCTAGCTTCAACACTTATTTCGATTCTAGGAAACCGCTCACTTTCATCTATAACCAATGATTTAGCTAATGCTCCCAGGGTATCGAAGCATATACCAGTAAAAGCTCTTAATTGAGCGTCATTTTTTATGAGATTGAATATAACTATTCTATAATACCTACGGGCTGCAGAATAAAATTCTTCTGTTACTTTTAAAATAACATTATGCATGTAATTATCTACATCTTTATCTTCCACACCATTGCCTAGAATTTCATTCATTTCCACGAGTAATTGCGCAGCTTTAACTTGATAACTGAGATTCTTTGTGTTATTTTCTGAGCAAGTACATTCTGTTTGGGTGCCTACAGATATCAATTCTGGAATTTGATCCACTTGATCTATGTTACTGTCAATCTGTGCTGAAGCACTTTGGTCGTAAGTTTCTTCACCGTCTGGAATCCATTCTTCAAAAAGTGCATTTACTTCAGAATCAGAGTTATGCTGATCTTCTTTCTCATTTTCTGTTTCTTTCACATTTACAGCTTGTGGTTTTTTGAGTATTCTAAAATGAAAATAAGCATAGAGTTTATTTTAAAAACAAACCAAAATCACCAACGATAACACAACTTACGCTGGAGTCACTCTGGACAAACGCGCTGCAGCTCTGGCTGCTCTAGCTTTATTTTTTTTCTGCTTCGCTAGTGGTACTTTTCTGGCAACGCTTGGTTCAGGCAGTTCAACCGAGGGTATTGCAATATTCTTCAATCGTTTGACTTTTTTATCTAGACCTGTGCAACAACGAAAACATTCATTAAAGACAAATTCTTGATTCCACAAGATGTCAAAATAGTTCCATAACATACTGCTGGATAAGTAATCGTCCGCCTTGAAGTGCTTCGAGCAGACACGCCAGGAATTGGCTACATCAGCCGACAGCCTCAGTCGCTTGGCCCAGAGTTTGCGCGCACTGATTTTCTTGATGTTACCGAGATTCGTCTTCACGAAGATGAACCTGTCGAGCTTGGGAAAGCTGTGAAACGACAGATTATCCGTTTTGAATCTCGTGCTGCTGTCGCAGCCGGGCACGCAGCATTGATTGTACATGATCGACGGGGTTTTCTGAACTGTTTGATCAAACGTCAATTATTATATTCTTGCGCGTAACCTACGTGCAGCGATTTGTTGTGTGTATGACATCCGATGCCATATTATGATGCTACCAAGAAGTAGCAACTAGCAGCGGACGACAACGACGACGCGGCTCTCTGTTCGCGGGTAATTTCATCGACGCGTGCCGCCCTCTATAAATTCAATGCGGACTTCCCGTAAGAACTTTCGCAAAACGAAACGTCTCCGCGTTGGTATATTTATGCGAAGAAAACGTGAAAAATTTAATTACAGTCACATACGCTGTATCTAATGAAATAGCGATGCTATCCGACACGATTCTTTCAATAAACTATCGTCGTAACGGCTCCGCGTATTTCGAAACTGGAACGTTGGTCGATTCATCGATAGATGGCTCTACTTGTGTCGCTGCCCGGTGCCGCCGCGTCGAAAAAACTCTTCACCGACCGTTACAGCCTGTGCCCGCAGCAGTGCGTGCTCTACATAGCCTGTAGCCAGTAACTGTGTGTGATGTGTGATAGATTTCTCTAAAATCGAGTGCCAGAGTTTTACATTTTGTCTGTGTGTAACGACGAATTCGCTCGAAAGATCGCATTAGTTGTTCATCTCCAACGAATTTCGTACTGTCCTATAACCAACCAACAACTGGAAACGTGGTTTTCGCCGATTCGCTGCAGCTATCTTCGAGTGACGCATCCATAATTGAGTGTATCTGTCGACGACGATCATGGGTGATCGTAGACGTGCAAATTCGTAAGTCGATTTCGCTTTCTCTTTGGTCATCGAAAATGGCCTTATAACAAAAACCGTTGTTCAATGCGGTCGTGTTTGCAGGTTGCAACGTGTGTTTAAACTAGTCTCTTTTGTCTCGGCGGCTCTCGATGTCGTTGTTCGCAATTCCTTTTTTTTCTCTCTCTCTCGCTAAACGCCTTGTACGCACGCTGTATATGAAAAAAAATCAGATAACGAACGTTAGGAGACATTCCACGGCCAATTTCAGCGGAGAGATCGAATAGATCTAGAGAAAGAGAAAAAAAATCGCGAATAAGGTCAAGGTTACCGGTTAGGGTAAATACGCTCGCGCGCGCGCCGGGATAATTTAGTTTCGATGTGTTTTTCTCTCGCACGTATGTAATTACGTCAAGAAGGCACGACGAACCCAAAAGTCTTATAGATAGATACAGATATACGGCACGGTTCAGCCTACGAATCGCGCGAATTGTCGTTGTGCAATCGATGATCCCACGTACATGTGTGTATTCCATCTTTACGCATGTCCAATAGTTATCTGAGAAATTTTATAAGTAAATAAACGAGACGAGAGACCCCGACTCCTCACTCTCTTAGATTTTTAATATTATTATATTAAATAACTGTGTTAACGGTCATACGAGTCGATCTCGCGTGAACTCTCGGAACACACTCATTGACGCAAACGCCCAATTCAATGCCAAATAATCGCGAGACTTTTTTTTCGCGCGCGCACACACGCCTCTCTCGCTAGCGCGCGGCTTTTGCCAGACGCAGCAGTCGTCTCATTACGCAATGTATATGCGTGTCTCGTTTTTTTTTTTTTTTTTAATCGCCGCAGCTCGCGCGAGAAAAGATATATCCAAAGTTCGTAAGGAATCATCGATCCTTTAACTGCCATCTTAGGCATTGGATTTTTATCTATCGAATTAAAAAAAGAACGAAGCAAAAAACTGCATAGAGAGTGAGAGAGAGAGATGGACGTTGTCGCGATGAGTCATCGATCATGAAGCTAACTTGCTGCTGCTGCTGCTGCTGCTGTGTGTTTATCGCCGCGACTGCACACCGAGCCCGACGACGAGCATTATCGTCGTTTCTCGCTTGCGCGCGCCTTGTTATTATTTTTCATTTTTCGAGAACAAAAAGAGAGACAGATTCGTACATGCGTATTATATGCACACTGCCGATGCGTCCGTGTGTGTGTGTGTGTGTTGGTGCAAGTGCGCGCGATATACGTAAAGTTACTCATCGTGTCGCGCGCGTCTCTCTCTCTCTTGTTTCTAAGAAAAGAGGATATGGGCAAATCCCCGATCGCGAACTCCGATAAGACTCGACGCGCGCGCGCTACACTTCTCATTCTCTTTCTTTCTTTCTCCTTGTACATTTTCGAGTGTAATTTGCGTATATGTACGATACACGCGTCTCTCGATTGATGTACAAAAAAAAAAATTAAATCGAGATCAGTAGGCGTTACGCACGAGTCGCGATTTTGGAGGCACGAATTAATATTTGCCTCGCGCTTTACTTACTTTATATACGCTCGATCGAATCGCCGCGATGTGCGCGCGTAAGAAACATCAATCGTATCATCATCATCGTATAAAAGTAATGATATCGCAATAATCTGCGAACTCGCGTAAGCTCGCGCGCGAGAACTCGTGACGCTCTTTTACTTGCGCCTGTCTCTCTCTCGGAAGTCCGGAAAAAAACGTATCAATCGATCACTACGTAACAGGCGTCAACTTCCATATTATAATAATACTATAGCGGCATGTCTGACAGCTAGTTTTTTGCTGCACATCTTATATGTGTGTGTTTATATATGTACGAATTGCTCCTTCCTGCGATAAGATCCGCGAGACAGGAAATAAAACGATTTGTGTGCGGCTGCGGTACACTATACTGCAGGCACGCGCGCACATACTGATCAGCGACGATGCGCCGGTCTTTTAACGCCGCCGCCGCGTGGGGAAATTTCGCGCTGCTTTTCGCGAGAAAAAAATCTCTGAGTTCTGCGTTACGCAATTTTACGCGGGGGGGCTTACAGCTTCTCTAATGTGTGTATATTTATAGATTTTAAATGACCTTTTGTAATATTAGAACTCGGCGAATTCGTTGGAAATATATATAATATAATCTTGGCTGCTCTACCTACAAATCGGAAATCGTGCGTGCGTGTGTGTATGTCTATATAACAACACGAACGAACACGTTTTTTCTCTTTGCCTCGATAATCGCGCTCGCGAGTCGGTCGCGCTGCTCGTATACCAGTATGAGTGTTTGTGTGTGTATGTGTGCAATTTTCAAGGTTGCAGCACGTCTGCACAGCGCAGCATAGCAGCAGCGGCCCATATAATACACTCTCGCGCGTACACATATACTTACATACATTAAAAGTTGTTGTTGTTGTTGTGTGTGTGCAAGGCACAAACGTATTTTTTATTGCTCGATGCGGTCTCTGCCTTATAAAGATGTGTCGCGTTGTTGTGTGCGTGAATGAGACAAAAGTAAAAGTGCAACTTTAATATCGAGAGAGCTTGTGTGTGTGTGTGCGCGTTTCTATGATATAACGCGTTGCAACTGTCTTAAACCTAGGATAATTTATATTTATTTATTTTTTTTATTTTTCAGGCCGATGGAGAAATTGGCGAAATATTTGCGTTTGAAAGGATCCAGGGATGGTCTTTATTTCATCGAAGACGACAAAAAAATCTTGGAGTTCATTATGAATCCGGACTGGGAGGGAAGCCTCCGCGGACACCGAGTCTGGGAACGTTTAAAAGAGGAACATTTCTTGCTGCTACCCAGGATCCATTGGAATGATCTGAAGCTTCGTGCTCAAAAGCTCCTTCGACCTAAGAGAGAGCTCAGGGCGTGGATCGCCTTGACCGGTTTAAAGAGATCCAGGTGGGTCGATGAGACTCGTCCTGAGTGGCCCGCGTTTAATATTTCGATGCGGTACCTGCGGCATTACTTGTTAAATAAAGGCGAGAAGGGAAGGCTAAACACTCCGTTTGATATCGAGGAGGACACCGAGGTAAGCATAGTTTTTTACATTTTAACTTAAGAATAAAATATTTATTATTTTAAATAATAGATATGTCGAGACAGTTTTACTTTGTATTGTAGCATGGATTTTTAAAATCTAGTCTAAGCAATTTTTAAGTATAAAACATTACTGTCTACTTTAGGGTCATGATTTTCAAGATGATATGGTTAGGCTATCTCAATTCTCCGAAAATCATTCCTTAGGATCGATGGTTACAGTCCAAATCAAGGAGGAACCAGGTTTCGGAACAGAAGGTTCCGACGAAGAGTAGGAGTCAAGATTATACTTGAGGTGAGCATCGACAATTTCATTTTTGATACAAACGTAAAACATATAACAATCGAAAATATACAATTTATACAATGAACCGCTAATATGTGTCCAAGCTAATGGAAAAAGATAAGGTCGAGAACGATTGCACACAAAAAAGAACAGAGAGCAGAAAAAAAAAATTCAACGCACTTGGCGCGCATTCGCACGTTTATACGCAGTAATCGAGAACGTTAAAATGAAAAGAAGAAAAAAAAAATTATAATAATAATAAAAGATAACGTGACCGATAAAGCACGTAGAATTTCTTGTCGCGCTCGAGTCTCGACTCGCGCATACACACACATAGGTACATTCATGTATGCAAGCTGCTGCAATGTGCAGTAGCCACCGCGCGCGCGCGCGGCATTGCACATTTTATGCATGTGAAGCGTATACACACGCGGTGAAACTCCGATCGTCCGTGTCGGCGGAGGCGCAAGAGTTTTCTCAACAAATTTTCTCGCAAACAACATCATTACACGAGGGCGATATTATATTCGGAGCTCGTTTATTTAGATAAATCGTTGTTTAAAACCTTCGTTCGGCTCACCAGAGAGAGGAAAAGAGAGAAATAACGCGAAAAGCAAGAAAAATAATAATAAAGACGCGTTGTAGCTGGAACAGCGGCTCTCTTCGACATATATATTTTGCCGCTGCCGCAGCCGCCGCGCTTTATACGACGCGGGTAAAACCCACGAGTTAAAAAGTCCGCGCGCTTCGGGCTCTCAATGCTCGCGGGGCACGTCCATACCGGCAGCACACAAGCTCGCACAAGTGTCTCTCCTCAGTCAGTCCACACTCCGCTCCGATCCGCTCGCTGCTGCTGTGTTTTTCGCCTTTTATTATTCGCGAGATATGTATGATATACACACGCTTGCAGCACACACGTCCAAAAGCTCTCTTCTCCCCACCTACCTTCCCGACGTCGTCGCAGAAGCGGTTCTCCGCGTACTGCGCCGCTGCTGTCGTCAGCGTCGACCAATCCCGGAGTCCCGGTCTGACGCCACCGGCTATTTTTAGTCCGCGCCGTGACTCACTGGATATAAGGCACAGCGCGAGCTACGGTCGAGCACTCAGTTAACGAACGCCAGCTCGCTCGCGCGGTTGTATCTTATCGTACGGCGCGCTAGACTTTTTACGATATTATATATATATCTGATATATATATAATCTCTCTCGTGCTGTTGTTGTGCTGTGCTGTGCTGTTGTGTGCGCAGACAATTTATTCTATATATGTATTTTACAGACCTCTCGTTTGTTGCAAAAGCGATAATATAATAGAGAGAGAGAGAGAGAGAGAGACGAGTGAGTGGGTTTTAGTTACAAAAAAAAAAACAACGAGGTGCGTTACAATAATAAAAAAAAAACAAGTGATCGTTAATTCGTTCTATTCGATACACGACTGTATTATCAATTGGTGCAAGTGTGCAGTGTGCAAAAAGAAATTCCGTGGTGCTCCGCTGCACGTAAACATCGTCGTCGTGTGTTATATATTCTGCCTTGTGCAGTATATATAGTGGAGTGTGTCTCTCTTCTGCTGCTGCTATTTTATATCTATAGATATATACGATACACCGAGCGCACAAGTGTTGTTATACATCGTAGTCGAGAGTCGTGTGCGCGCACCCTAACGTGTCTGTCTCAGTGCTATATATAATATACATACATAAAGGCTCGCCTCCACTAGCTCGTGCTTGTGCGGCGATCGTCTTTATTAGTTTTTTCTTTGGCATAAATAAATAATACGAACCGAACGCCCGATGGTGCGCAACCTGACTCCGATGGAGCCGACGTTCTACGAGGAGCAGCCCCAGATCTACGGCGGCCGCATGTCCAACGGCGGCAACCTCGTGGGCGCCGCCATGAAGCGCAGCAATCTCACGCTCGATCTGAATCGGCACCAGCAGCACCAGCTCCACCAGTCCGGCGGCAAGCGTCAAAAGATCGTCCCGCTCACGCCCAATCTGCTGAGCAACATCACCCTGAACTCGCCGGACATGTTCAAGATCGCCTCGCCCGAGTTCGAGAAGCTGCTGCTGTCGCAGGGCATCACCGCGGACAATCTCAACGCCCTGAACGCGGGCGGCATCAACATCAACACGCCCACCTCGCAGATGTACAGCTTCGAGAACAAGTCCCTGGTGACGGAGGAGCAGGAGCATTACGCGCGTGGATTCGTGGACGCTTTGGAGGCGCTGCATCACAGCGACAGCTCGCAGGAGACGGGCGCCATGCACGGCGCGACCTACACGAACCTCGAGCCGCCCGGATCGGTACAGAGCACCGAGTCCTCCTCGCTGCTGGGCGGCGGCTCGTCCGGTAACAGCGGTTGCGGCAACAACGGTCTGGCCGTGTCGATCAAGGACGAGCCACAGACCGTGCCAAGCGTGAACTCGTCGCCGCCCGTGTCGCCCATCGACATGGAGAACCAGGAGAGGATCAAGCTGGAGCGCAAGAGGCAGAGGAATCGCGTCGCCGCGTCCAAATGTCGCAAACGCAAGCTCGAGCGCATATCCAAGCTCGAGGAGCGCGTCAAGGTGTTGAAGGGCGAGAACACGGAGCTGAGCGCGGCCCTGTTAAAGCTCAGGGAGACGGTGAGCAAGCTGAAGGAGCAAGTGATCTCGCATCTGCACTCGGGCTGCCACCTGCCGACGCACAACGGCGGCATCGGCGGTATCGGCCAGCTGGGACAGTTGGGCACGGTCGTCTGAGATTGGGAGGAGGCGGACAACGACGACGACGACGATTGTCTGCACCTCATCGAGCAATTTATACTGAAGCAAGAGGAGCAGGATGAGCAGCAACACGAGGATATCAGCTGACCGGTTGCCGCTGCGAATCGAGATACCACGACGGAGACAACGGAGCATCGGCGACAACGACAACAACAACAACAACAACAACGGCGTGTCGTGCTCGTGTGTGCTGTCGGTAAGCTACGCAACTAACTACCGCCCGACGTCGTCGTCGTCGCCGCCGCCGCCGCCGCATCCGTTTGTTGTTTATTGTATTATCATCCATACATCGTGTGTCGTGGGGCCCCGATCGTCGCTGTGTATAAGTTTCTCTCTTATAAAACATGGATTTTATTATACAAATTCGAGACTGAGTGGAACGATTGCGTGCTGCGTGGGTGCGTGTGTGTGCGAACAATGTGGAAAAAATTCGTGCTTACGTGTGTGAGTGTGTGCTTTTCTCCCGAAGGCCGTCGTTGCATATATACAATTATGTTCTATATAATAAATATTAGCTTGTACATAGAGAGCGAGTTTTATGTATAACGAGGACCGGTAGCCGGGGCTGCCCACTGTATACGCTTCTTTTTCTCTGTGTTTTTCTCCGTGCACTCGCTCCGAATTATCATTATCATTATCGACAACCGCCGTATACAAAATGACCGATCGCTGTGCTGAATTGAAAGAAACAAGATGACAAAAAAAATTAAATAAAAATAAGAATCGACCTTACAGTTGAACGAGGTGTCGCGTGTCTAGTCTTGAAGAGGAGAGCGAGAGAGAGAGTTTCGTCTCTCTTTCTCTCTGCGTATGCGTGTGGCTGTGTATGATCATGATGTGTATGTATGGTGTGTGCTTTCACGCTAAATAAGCGGAAAATTGTATAAATTTTTTGTAATCCTCGTGTGTGCGTCTCTCTTGTCGTCTTACATACGTTGCCGTCCAGCGCGCGTGTCTATCGGTCGTGTCGGTTGCTTGTTGATGATGATGAAAAACAAAAAAAAAAAAATTGAATAAGTGTACATAAATAATAATGAAAAAAACAGTGCAGGAGCAACGGAAAACAGAGAGTGACGGAGAGCGTAGGAATAGTGGGGCAGTCGTCAGTCAGGCCGGAGTCCAGGAACAAAGGAAAAAGCTTTTTTTTTCCTTGTTCTGCGCGAGAGCGAGAGCGAGCCCGACGCATTATGTTTCTTTGTTTATATTTATGAATAAATAAAAGAAAGAAAGAAAAAAAAAGCTGTAAATTTATATCTCTGTGCTGTAACGCGTGGTTTTATAGACAAGAATATAAGTAAAATATTTGCTGCTTTTGCATTTGATTGCCTTTTTTTCTTTTTGAAGAAATAAAAAAAGAATCTCGCTTGAAAATTCAGACAAGAAGAGGAAGAATCAAAAAAACTCTCATTCCAGAGAATTCGCGTTGCGTATTTTGTATTAAAGACAAAAAAATCATATATATATGTAATATATACATACCTACTCAAGAATTATTATTATATATTTGTAGATAAATAAAAACGACGCTCGAGCCGTTAAAGGCCGTCGGCGATCATTTTTTCTCTTTCATTTGATGATTTTTTCGTTACTCCAACAAGCCAAATATATACGATTGTAACAAAAAAAGTATAAACTTATATATAAATTATACATAAATGAAATATATTTTATTTATTGCGATGATGAAAGTATAAAATAAATAAATTGTATAAAGAGATTATATTATAAAAAACGAATGGAATATTTGATTTCAATGTTGCTTCAAATCACAATTGTTTACATTATTATATACGCAAAGTTAACTCATGGCTATTCAGCATTGCCTTTTAATTAAAAACGTTTAAACGAAATGAAAAAAAAAGTAATAATAATAACAGAATTACAACTCACGTAAGTGTAACTTTTTCTACGTTTTAAAGTAAACTAACATTATAGCCTAGCAATAATATTAATTAAATGATGAGCCATTGCAATAGCATCTAGTGTGTAACGTGAGAGAGCAAAGTAGTCATTTTGATCTCGCCTCATAATTTCCATGTCTTGCAACTTGACAGTCCAAAGCTTTCCGCCATATAAACGTAATATGTGTACGATGTTCTGAAGTCTAATAAGTATATAATGAGAAAGAAAGAAGAAAAATAAAATAATTCCTGACATATTTGCAACAACAACAACAACAACAACAAAAAACTCATCGTGTTCACGCTGTAATGTGATCGCTGCTGCGTCGTGTGCATGTGTGTACAAGACAGATGCGAATGTACTTTTAACGAATTATACTTGGCAAATCGATAGTTGATAACGATACAAAAAAAAAACTGCTAATTCTCGAGAACAATAAACGTAGAGTAAACGCGCGCGCCCACAAGCTTGTTGTGGTGCCCGCGAAGAGGAACAAATAATCGGCATATAAATAAATCATAAACGTATAACGTAGTAGTCGTAGAATAAAGTAAAAGAAAAAATAATTTTCGTTCCGTCGATTTTCGGTGTAGAAAGAAAAATTCGTATATTTAAACGTGAAAGTATTTTCTTTTTTTCCTTTTTTTCACGAAGGTCTGCGAAGTAGTGGTATTATATATTATACGCGTGCTTACGAAGTGCAGACTTTCTGGGCAATCAATTCACTGGACAGTGTGCCTTTTTGATGGAAAAAAAACGTAACAATGTGTAAAATTCGGGCGAGGTGTTGCAAAAGGATCCATCGAGCGACGATCTCAACCGATCGCTCGACGTTTTCGTCCTCCGCCGTGTTTCTCTTTATCTCTCTAATCTCTCTATCTCTCTCTTTTTACAATATCATTTGCATCCCAACTGTATAGTAACGTGTGCATGTAAAGAAACAGAAAAAAAAAAAATAAGACGAGAAACAAAAACTCAAGATGCTTTTTATAAATAATGAATAACAAAGTTGCTTTCCTATTGTTTGTACTACCGTTTTCGAAAGGCTTTGTAAAAATATTATCACGCATTAATTGTATAATGAATTATCTATAAACGTCCTATAAATTTATAATACTTTAGACTCTGCTTGTATGCACGAGATGTAAATTACACGAGCTGCGAAAAAAAAGCTTTACTCTATTGTGAATAGATAAGATTTTTTAAATGTACAATTCGAGACTCTTCTCCGAATATGGACGCTAAAAAACATTGCGACGAGAATCTTTGTAATCATGTAAATTTATCTCTTTTTTTTTTACTAAAAAATTTTATACTCAAAAAGCGAAAACAACAAAAAAAAATCAATCCGAGCAAGTGAAAAGCGACTGCACAAAAAAATAAAACGTACGAAAGTAATTGAAACAATATGTGATTTAGCATGTAAGAGAACGAAAAACCGATAGATAATATTTACGATAAAAATATATATAATATACAATATCAATCATTTTTATATACAAGTGTTTTTAATATTGTATAAAAATATATTTTTTAGCGCTGAAAATAAAATTGCGAAGTTTCGAAATTTCACGAAGACAGAAAAAAAAATCAATTAAACCGAAAGCAAAAAATATAAGATGTAATAATATAATTTACTATATACAACGCTGTACGTCCAAAAACGCCTTCGCGCGTCTCGGACATTCAAAGAGGTATCTTGTAAAGTTCCACTGAATGTTACCTTTGTCGATATATACATGCGCAAACAAAGTCACGAAAAAAAAAAAAAAAAAGAAACCGAAAACAAAAATACAAAGAAGGTGGTAATAAACACTCACTCGTGTGTGCGTGCGAACGTATATTATATATTTTTTTAAAACACAGATGTAATAAATTGCGATACCATCCATTTTTTGACGTGACACAAAGACGAAAAAAAAATTGTGAATATTGACAACGACTAAAAAAAAAACACAAAACAGTAATAGATAAACCACAGAAGCATTGAACTTTTATTGCAATGATGATATGTACAGAAGAGCGATATATATATTATTTATATACAACGGATATATTGTGTATTGTATGCCAAGACAGCCGCCCGCGAAGAGATATAAGATGGACGCGCTAACCATCTTCGTCTTTTTTTTTTATACAAAATAGTTTTATTTTTTAATAAAAATGAAAAGCGAGAAAAATTTATTCTAAATAAAATTTACTACGTATTATATATGCTAAAATCTGCAATTTTGTTCTTTCGCAAAACCTTCAATACTCTTTCACTTAACCATATCCTATATCAACTCACATCTCTCTTGTCCTTAACGAGTGTGGCTATTTTTAGTATTCGGCGCCGCGCGCACTTCGTTCAATTCGCCGAGTAGCGTACACACACACACACACCCCTCGTGTGTATATATTAATTACCACACTTTTGAAAGCTCTCGCTAAAAATTTTTCAGCTGTTGATGCGATACGCACAGCTGCTGATTTGCGGGCAGCAGAAGCACACAATGACGCTGTGTGTATGTGTGTTTGTGTATCTTATACTCTCGTTACGTACACGTACCGCGCGCAAATGTGTATAAAATTTTATTTTTATCCACTCGTGGAATTTCGCGAAAAAAAGAAAGAAGAAGAAGAAGTAGAGAGAGAGGAGGCTCGAGAGTACTTCCAAAAGGGATATAAATATATTTCATGTAGCTGACCTCTCTCGGGTCGTTAATTACCCCCGTTGTGCAATTGGTTAATTGACTCAATTGAGAGAAAAGTTCCCGGTAGGAATTGAGATCAGGATTTGTAGATACAAACACACACACACACGCAGTACTGATGATGGGTGGCTTTCGTCCGGCTGCGCGCGCGTGTGCACACGTTTTGTATTATTATTACATGTACCCGCGTATACAAACGCTTTTACTTTTGGTCAACGATGTGTGTGGCGCGCAGCAGCAGCATCGTAATCATCGTCTTTTCTCTTTTGCATTTCGATCATAATAACAGGAAGGGCGTTTTATGAATTCATATACGACATTATTCCGCTCGATGAGCGATTCGTGCAACAAACACACAGCGCGGGAACTTCGAGATCGATCGAACGAGAAGCATTGGAAAAGATTCATTCAATACGTACAGTAGTCGAGCTTATGTACGAACGAGATAAAAAGCGGATTGAACCCGAATTTTATCGATGTGCCATGCGACGAGTGGCACGCACACGCACATACTGTGTACGATGTGTGTTATATAGGTGTTCGCGGTGCGTCCATCGAGAGACGAGAAAAAAAAGAGGAAGAAGTGAGAGAAGCATCGCGAGTCAACGAACTTGAAATGTAACAATACAGCGGCGTTTATGCAATTCGCGTGGACTCGAAATTGCAGAAAAACTTTGGGCGAAGTTAGTACATAGGCGCGCACGTGCAATATATCGTGTGCGATCGCGTTTTATCATCGTGATTTAAAGTATCGCGGGCGCCTCTGTATACTACGTGCTGTATTACAATCGATCCCATACCCGATTGTAATTTTTCGTTTTTTCATTTTTTTAGTACGCGATGTGTATCTAACGTCTTTATTTTGTATGTGCGTACCTGTATATAGATCGAGTTCGGCACGCGCGACTCGCGCAGCACAAAACGTGTACACCTCGTGGACACTCGTCGTCTATCGCTCGGTACCTCTCAGCTGATCGCTGATCGGGTTTTTTTTGACACGCACACGTGCTGCGCGTGGCTACGATAGATGGTACAATATATATAGTGCGGCGGTATTTAATTCTTCGCGTTTGTGTTTTGTTTCCGCCGTCGTCGCATAAACACACAATTGCTCTTTCATGCAAAAAGGAATTTATGGAATGATAGTACAGTTGTGTGTACACTGTATACACGACGCGTTCTCCAAAAAAGTACAATATTACAATATTACATCGTGTAAACTTACGGGTAATTAGTCGCTATCTAGAAAATAAATTCGTTTACCGTACGTATGTGTGATACACATTCCTATACCGAGCAATCGCTGCGAATGCGAACGATGAATATATTCTCGAATTTACTTCCACTTTTCACGTCCGGCGAAGCCGAGAGTCGATACTGAAGAAAAAAATTTTACGATTCGTCTTTTTCGGGAACTATATAACGACGTAATAGATTTTTCAATAAGTGAATTTTCACACTGTCGGTACTCCGAGGGTGGGTTAAAAAGTTACGACGAACTTTCAAGAATGTATCGAGATGTACACACGAATCCGAGATGTCTATTTTTGGCGGGATTTTCTCGCGCGCAGGATTATAAATTAAAAGCTCCGCGTTGACTCTCCTCTCTATATATAATAGCAATAATAATAACGCACATGCACGAGCGAGAGCTCAAGTTCATTGCCAAATTATTTTTAGTGTCACACACACATGCATACGTATGTAGAACGTATAAAGTGTAAACGGAATATTTTATATTTGCAATAATAATAATAATAATTTAAAAAAAAAAGCCAAACACCCGGAGTCGTGCTCCGTTGTTGATGGCGGAGAAAAACGACACGTCGCTGCCATATATACTACGATTGTGTGTGTTTTGAACCGATGAAATATTATGGCTCGCGCAACGCGCGAAGATGCAACAGTTGTCGACGTTGTGCATATATAGGTGAATCACGCTCCAACTATTTGTCGGTATGGAAAAACAAAACTCCGCCGCGGCGACGAGCGCGGCCTCGAGAGCGGCCGCGTATCGCTGCACAGGCTGCTAATACAAATAAAAGCGAAGAGAAAAAAAATTAATAATCGACGATTTGGCGAATTTGTGTATCGATAGTTTCTTCTTCTTTTTTTTTTGTCGTAAAAAATATTATATACCATCTACGTCTCGTTCTCGAAAACGCTGTTTAATCTTTTTTTGCTTTCGTTTATTTTTCTTTCTGCAAAAGAAAAAAGAAAAAAACATAAAAGAAACGTGCGATAAGCCACGCGTAGTATTATAGTAGTATAACATAGTGTAGTGGTCTGTCCCGATGCAATGAGGAAAAATCGTTATCGCGCGCTCTCGCTCTATCAATTACGAAATACCAATTGAAACTTCGAGATATTATACGGAGAAAAGAATCGATTCGAAAATCGTCGACGATAGATTGTCATCGAGCGAGAGGGGAACGAAAAATCGAGCCGTGTATACGTGCGAACCAAGTGTGAACCGTGCGACACCTTGCAAATATAATTGTACAATTATTTAAATTCCATCTCGCGACACGATAGCAAAAAAAAAAGAAGCAATTTCAAATATTTCGCTGTTCTTACGTACTCTTTTTTACTTCTTCTTCTTTTATCGCGAAACATTCCAATAATCAGCCTAGTTTACAAATGTTGCGCCGCACCGAGAACAATGTACTTGACATTATCTCCCTCTCTCTCTCTCTCTCTCTTTCTATATCTTCGATATATGGTTAAACAACGTAACTGTTAATGCATTCGAGTGTTTATGAAAATTACGTATCTCTCTCCCCGGTTTTTACCCGGGGGAACGCGATTCGTTTAACTCGAGCTCGTGCAACTATAATACGCGTTTCACAACATCATACACACACACACACACACACACTTCCAAAGCCCTAATCTATACGAGGAATAAACCGCGATATATCGGCCAAAGCCTTTATGTGTATTTTTCTCTCCTGCGCCCGCGAGAGATTAAAAAGGTTTTGCAACGTAAATGGAACTTTGCATTATCAAAGGTATGTCTAGCTCCATAGATCAAACAAAAATAAAAAAGAAACGTTTTATCTGGCCGTTTTTTTCGGGAACACACAACATCCGATATTATAACCGGAAAGAGACGACGACGATGCACGTGGAATTTCGGCAGTGGCGGCTATCGCGCGCGAGCCGCACTACTAACACTGGCCTCGTGCCAATTTCGATGCCTTTACTTGCACGCTATATTGCAAACAGAGTTGGGATTGTAATCTTTTGGCCGAGCGAGACGG